GCTTAGTCTGAAGTGTGTGTAATGGACCCTGGATGTATAAACATACCAACCAACTGTATGACACGTCTCTGATTCCTTCCCAACATGCAGAAAGTGCTGCTGTGTGTCCTGGGTTTTGCTCACAGTGCTGCCCGTGTACCTCATTGCTGATCTCTGGGCCTGTCTGCACTGTGGTAACAGCGGTGACTAACGTGGTTTGCTCAAGTTAGCTCTGACACTGGTCTTAGTCAAATAATGCAGCAGAAAGCTAATCCAGTCTTTGGATTTGATAGCCCACAGGAAATTCCAGGTTTCTGCCCCATTTAGGTTGCTGCTTACAGCTGTGTACTGGAGCCAGATACTAAGTCGGCTTATATGAGGGACCCTGCCTGTCTTTGTTTTTCAGTTTCTGAGCAGAGGTATCAAACTGTCTAGGTTTAGATACCATCAGTCTCTATCTCAGTTTTTTTTCTCAGCTGAAATGGTTTTTCAGAATAAAATGTAAAAAAGAAGATCCTGCTCTTAACTCCATCTGGACTTGCTGTTCTCCCCGGTAAAGCCGAGTGACGGTGTGTTACTGTGGAGTTACTGATTTTGCACTAGTCTAAAGAACTGCCAAGTCCTAAAGCATTAGAATTGTATCTCTGCTTGGCTAGTCTGACTTTTCAGCTGGGTGAAAGGACCAGCAAATACATAGACATCTTCCAGCTTTCTCTTGCTTTCCAATACTGAATCCGTAATTCTTCCTGAAAAGGAACCTGTCAGCAGCAACTAACTAGTAGCCATTTTGCTGTGTTTGAAACCTTCTGTCTGTGGGTCTGTGTCCTGATGATATGCCCTTAATCGCTTTTTGCAATGAGTTTGGGTGTTTGTCTTTGGAAGCTGTGTTGCTTCTTGATTAATGGATGGACATTTAGACCAGCACTTTTCCTACTAGCGCAGCGCTTATGATGGAAATTGTCAAAGAACCTTGCTTTAACCTCCCAGGTGCTTAGGACTTCTTCATGGGGTTTATATCCGTGTAGGAATGAATTTGCCAAGACAAATGAATGCAGTTATTGACTGAAGCAGCCGTTACCTGCCGCTATTGAACAGTTAGGAGAGGGTTAAGAAGAAAACCTCTTCTGAGCCACTAGATTGGCCCTGACTAAGATGAATGTCTAATTCACTCCCAGCGTCCTTACTGCTGCCAGTAATAAAAAGCTTGCTTCACATATTCACCCCACTGCAGACGTTTCTCTTAAATTAAATATCAAGAGGACATATAATAGCACGATTCCACGCCAAGCCAATATTATCAGATTGATGTCAGCAGTGATAATAGAAGAAGGATAAGTTGATGAGATTTCATTTATTAAATAAAGTAAAGGGAATACGCAGTGATAGAGAGGATTTGGTAACTCTCGGTGTCAAAATGCAGCAAGATCGTGCTCGTTCTGTCTTACCTCGAGGGATAGCGGAGAGAAGGATGCCCTTTGTTTAATTTTAAGGAAACCTCTCTCTCCTTTTCCAGACAAAGACCTGATTTAAATCCCTCTGTGGGAAGGGGAGAGGAAGTTCTAAATTTCATAATTTCATGTGTATGTAGCATTGAACAGTGGTGAGGCAAAGGTTTCTTTCCTCTCTGTGATGAGGGAGGCACTGCTAATGAGTTTTATTTCTAGATTCATCTTTTCCTTTTTCTGACCTGTCATCCTTTCTCCTTTCCTCCTCCTTTAAATGATGAGAGTGTGTCTTTTTGGTTTAATCTTTCATATTCCATATGTCCTGCATTTATTTATTTCCAAGGTATTGTCAGAGCTCTGCTCCCATACTTCCCTTTCTGCAGATATAGTCCTAGCCCCTCCCAACCCAGCCTTTCTCTCTTGCCTTTTTTTTTCTAGCTGGTGTCAACGAGCCTCTTGCACCTGTTGTAATGGTAGCAGTCAAACCTGTTTTATTTTAGACAGAAGCTAATTGTCTGCCTCATTTGCTGGTAGAATATTATGCTTAAAACTGTGACCCACTTTAGATGATAGGTCAAAGCATACAAGTCTTCTGCTCTTCTTGTATACAAACCTCATCTCTTCCTTACCATTTTCCTTCAAAAATAATAAAGCCCCTCAGACAATGAGATATAAACAGCAGTGTGGTGGGATGTCCAGAAGATGAATTTAGAATTTCTAAAGATTAGTTAGTGCCAACAGCCTTGAGCTGGGCTGAGGGTGAAGGGAGATAGTTGACTGAGGTCCATGTCCTTTTGGAAGTCAGTATGTCATTGCACTCAACAGAGATATTTGTAGTTGGATGCTGCTGGTTTCATTCTTTTTTCTTTCAGGTATATTTGAGTAAAGCCAGCCAGACAGGTGTAAGGTACAACTGGTGTGTGTGCATAGGGCTGCACTTTCCCCCATGTGCAAATGTTGCAACCTGAAGTTAAGAGACTTAAAGTGAGCAGGAGGGTGGCATCCCCGTGAGTCAGACAGGGCAGGAGTTGAGACTGTTGTGCCAGGAGGAAAGCACCTCAGGCAATTGTTTACCAGACCAGTTCAGATACCACTTTCCAGTCCAGATGGGTACCAGAATTAGTCAACTGGACGTGGTTAACTTGTGTACTCCCAGACTCTGCAGTAACTTGTGTTGATAATTACCTTATCCAGCTTTGCAATTGGTTTGTTAGTTTTTCTACACCTGTTCTGAGAAGCTGGTGCAGTTGATGCATAACCGCAGTTTGAGGTCTTATTTTTAAGAAATAAAGGAGAATATTCATGCTATGATTTTGGGTATGTGGTAGCAAATAAATCCTCCCTGTATTGTAGAAGTGGCATGTATGAATGCTGATTTAGGTTCTCTCTGGGCAATGCCTGTCCATGCTGATTGATCCTTTGCCTCTGGCAGCTTTAGGCAGCAGCAGTCTGTGGCTTCTCACCACTGTGGCTTGTAAATAGCCCTGTGGGCTGGGCACCAAGGGGTCTCCTAAAGAAGAGGGCCACAGACTTTGCAGTACTGTCCTGACTTCATATTTACTCTAGGCAGTGAAGACTGATGCCATAGGAGGGACAGTGAAGGAACAGATCAAAAGCAAGGCTCAGTTCCTAAATCTCTCCCTGCTGGCAGTGGCAACCCCAAGCATATTTCTAGATATTTCTAAGATGGTTGTACGGTGTTGTTCAGCTCAGATGAATGAAGGCTGGTTTGTGGTAATGCTGTACCTTTTTGCTCCTCCGGGTCTCTGTATGAAAATTGCAAAATGCCCTTCAATTTAACATCGCCGAGTTTAAAAAACCTAATTTTAAAAGTCTTAACTTTTTCAATGAATTGAGGGATTTGGTGGTATTTCCTGACCTGGTATTGTTTGGTATCGTTTCCACAGTCTCACTGATTTGATTAGAGTGATATTAAAGTTAGTGACAAAGCAAAATGCCAACATTATGAGTTTCTGAAGCTCTCTCTGGGTTCTTTTCTACCCTAAAATTTGAAGATTTTTTTTTTAGAATATGGATTTCAGAGGCTTTAAAGGTGATTTGCTATATAACATAGAAATTAGAAATGCACACTAGCCTCTAGAGACCATGCATGGAATAAGTTTCTTCTAAAACTGTAAGATTACTGAAGAGGTGGAAGTCTGTACAGTATCTTTGGTTTCTGATCCAAATCTCAATGTTGTAGAGTGTGGCTGTCATACTGTTACTGATAAATTCCTAGTCTGTCCATGTATGTTGGCAGTAAGACTGAGGACTGAAGAAGTATCAATTAGAGTATGTCTGAGCCAAGCTATCAGGTTGCTGATACAGAAAAGACAGAGTTGTTTTTCTTCTTTTGGTCCTTCTACTTGTTTTCCTGGGCACCTTACACAGATGTGCATGATTTGGAAACTCATATCTGAACTCTCTAAAAGCTTTTAGGAGATCTTGGTTTAAGATTTCCTGTTTCTTAGAAATCTGTTCCACCTGAGAGAATGTGACATGCCCAGGAACAGGTCATGTTTTCTCTCTGCCTCGCTGTGAATGAGTGCCTGTAGTTACTGCGGAAATGAATACATCATGGCATGGCATTAATGCCTGCCTGTAGCATCAAATGCTTTGGAAGGAAGAGGTGCATTTGATATTTGGGCACAGGCCTCTAAGCAGTATATTGGGGTGGAAAATGCAAGGAATTAAATAGATTTATGGTTTAGGAGCCGACATCTGAGGATTGCTACACCAAAGCATATGTTCTCTTTTTCTCTGGTAAAACATACCGTGGCAATTGTGCTGCAGATTCCTGCAATTTGTGTCTGCCTGTCTGTGCAACTGATGTCACTGTTGTTACTGTGTTTGTGCCATTGTTGCTGGTATTGTTTTACAATGACCTTCCCCTTTATTGGTGCTGTTGCTGATGATGTGCCATATGCACACATGCACATTAGAGTATAAGAACATTGTTCTTAATTGTTCTTGGGTAGCTGTCAATGCCATTTACAGAGTAAATGTACTAATTGCTGCAGAAATACAAAGAAACAGATATCTGGTCTTGCTGTTATTCTGGGGTTTTTTTCTTCTAGTCACTAGGAGGATTGCTGTGCTTCCAACTATGCTGGATTTTTGAAGTGTTTAAATAGATGAGAATTTAATAAATTGAGGCACCTTATTCAACAAGTCTTTTCAGTTCCTTGTCAAACTGTTACAGATCTAGTACAGACCCAGCCAGGATTCCTGAGATCTGCCAGAAATTTCCAGTGTGAGTTGGGAAAATCATTGAAACTCTTGGATTTTATTTTTTTCTTTTTTTTCCTGACTGTAGAGGAATGTTTTATTTAAGGGTAAAATGGCCTTTTACAACAACTTAAAGATCATGCTCCTTCTTTTTGCTAAGTACCCTAGATTTTTCAGCAGGAAAACTGTTGGTCATTTGACCCACTTTGGTGATTGTTGCTCCCACTGGTTTCTCTATTAGGACTACATGACTCCAGCACAAGATTAGTATGTGTGTTACTGGTAAAGTGGTAGTAAGTGACTGAAAACTCCTCTTCACACATCTTTCTGTGCTTGTTTTCTCTGCAGGAGGAGAAACACTGATCCTGTCTGTGCAAACCTGCAGTCTGAAATTCTGAAGTGCTACCAAGAAAACAAACGTGAAGTGCTCAAATGCTCGGAGCTGGCTAAGGAATATCAGCGCTGTGTTAGCGCAGCTCAGAAGGTAACAAAAGCTGCTCTGTTGTACTGGCTGGCTTTGCTGGCTTGTTTTGCATGGTGTTTTCTTCTGGGAAGTGTTTTTGAGAGCTGTGGTATCTGTTAGTCAAATCAAAATCTTCATAGGAGACAAATTTTCCTGGGGATCCATTTTCCCACATTCATTCCACATTTCCCAATCACGCTGTGGTATGTCCCAGCTTCACTCCCATCAGTGAGTCCTGTTGTACCGAGCTGTCACCAAAACAGTAGCATGGATGGTTCCAGGTTTCAAAGTCAGTCACAAGGATTTTTCCAAGTTTTACCTTCTTGGACGATGGAAAATCCATTTTGCCAATGTCTGCAACATTTTGAATGGGCTCTAAACATCCTCCTGTTATGGGATTTTGCAGTTGAAGGGCTTGCTTCCTTTCATTGCTGCATGAGGAGAGGTTCTGTACTGGGCAAAGCTGCTGTATGTTGGGAAAGCTGCACAATCCTTAAAACTGTTCATCTCGTGCAGAAGGCCAGGAAACCTTATGGCTCTTCCTTCTGAGATGCAGAGTCCTATTAGGTTCTGTTGATGCCTTAGGACAGTGGCTGCTCAGTACCTTGGAAAAATTTCTGCCTATTTAAACAAGTGAAGGGGAAAAGAAAGTGAAGTATTTGGACATTGCAACTAGGGTATGGTCCTGGGAAAACTGAAGTGTAAAGGATGCTGTTTCCCATGTGAGAATTCAGTGGGTCAGGTGTCCCTCAAGGGCAGGCTTTTCTGTTTTGGTTCTGTTTTTGAAGGGTAGAAAATTCTCCAAAAGATGCTGAGACTGTAGTAAGGTGAATTTCGGGAGAAGGATGGTAATAGGAAATTGAATAGAAAATAAAAATCCTCTCAGGGGATTACTAAAGCAAAGGGTAGGAGAGAGGTGGATGTTTCATGGAAGCAGTCCTTCTCTGTCGCATTAGAATTGTGAGGGGAAGCTGTATGCCTGATTTAAGTATAACATGAAACAAGCTGCCAGCCGGCTCCCAGAAGAAGCCCGACAGAAGGAGATGGGAAAATTGTCAGGGTATATTAGACCAAATGTTGTTGCTAGTCCTAGAGGAATTTTTTTCCTTCCTGTTTACAAAGAAGGTCTTTGTATGTCTGCAAATCAGCAAGGTTAAAGCTGCCAGGGAAAGGGCTTTTCTCTGATATCTTGAAAGTCCCCAGCTCCCTAAACATGTGGTTTCTTTTTTCTTCCTCAGCTTTAAAATAAAGTGGTGCCTGTGCTGCCGCTGCACAATCCATGCCCCCAGTTGCTGCGAGCAGAGCATTGGTGCATCTATTGCCAACCTCCCTCATCCTCCTTGCCTCCTCTAAATCAGGCTTGTAGCCCTTTCAGTGGAGTATATCTTTAGCAAATGCATTTACCAATACATCTTTATTGCATGCAGTGCGGGTGGAATGTGATTACCAAAGAAGACAGATTGCATTAAACTTCAGCATATTTGCAAGCTGCGGCTCCAACTCGCCTGAGAGAGGGGCTGGGATGCTGCCAGCCCTGAGCCCCAGCCCGACATTATTAAAGAGTAAATTGGAAGCTAAATGACTGGTAACAGCAGAGGGCAGTGAAAGATCCTATTAACTTGGATCTTTTTTGGATTTGTGTGGCGGTGGAGTTTTTGGTAGGTTTTCTTTATAAACCAAAAACTGGAGGTTGTCTGGTTACCTTCATTCCTAGAGTCTTCGGTGAACTCCAGGAATTTTTTCTCTGCTGTTACTAGAAACTACCTGGAAGGAGAAATGCGTAGGACATTAATTTGTTGTGGATGATGACAGCTTGGCAGAAAATCTTGCTGTGTTTTAAGAAGGGGTGAGAGAGACTAAAGGTAACTAAACCTTGCAGCTACATACAGGCACCGGAGGGTCCTGCAAGTACAAATTCAAAAGTTGTGTAAGGCAGTATGTATTCTGTGGTTTCCTTTTATCCCAGGACAGCTCAAGCCCTGACAATTTCCCTCACTGCTCTTACTGGCTTCTGAGATACATGTAGCGATCACAAGCTGTTGTGTTTTATCATATAGCATTAAAACTCCCTCCTCCCTTCCCCTTTTTAAGCTGTTATTTTTCCTTAAGTTTAAATTAGCATCTTCTACCAAATGGCTTTGTCTCACGCATTCCTCATTCAGGAAATTCAGGTTGGAGGAATGTGGGAAAGAAAGGCCAGAATCTCTTGATTTCTTTGGTATTTTTTTACCCTTTTTTTAAAAAAAAGCCCACGATTTGTTTTCCAGTAGAGGAGGTTGTAATCAAAGCTGGATGTGTGACTTCAGCTCACTTGCATGCTGGTGATTTGTTCTGCTGCTTTTTACTAAAGATTTTATAAGCCTTGGTGAATATTCTCTAATGAAGCATCTGGTGCTCTGCAAGTTCCTTTTGATGGCTGGTAAAAATGTCTCCAGGGCATGGTATACATTAGACTCAGAGAAAGCAAGCTCTAGATTTCTAGACTGAAAATTACAGCTTACAGTGGATGAGAATAATTCTTTGCATCTTCCCCCTTAGTGTGTTGGTTTGACACTGTTCCTTTGGGCACCCATTTCCCTTTGCCTGTTGCTTTGCACATCTCTGAGCCAGGAGCTGAAATGCACCCTCAGTTATTTCTCCCCCATGAACAAATGCATCAGGTAATCATTTAATGAGTTTTAAAATGTATTTTATACTCATTTCCTGTACAGCCTCTCTTCCTGGAACAGGTTACTTTTTTTAGTGCAATGTAGGGATATAGCTAATGTTACCTCTTTTGGATTTTTTCTGGCCATTGGACCGTCTTCTGTAGTCAACAGAGGGAAATAGGCACCTTTAGAGTGTGGTGCACCTGGCTCTAAAACAGTCATCTGAAATGGGCCAGCTGAATTGCCAGCCATGAATATTTTTCTCTGCCACTTGGGAGGCACATCCAGAGCATGAACTACGAAGTTGGTGCCTGTACTGGGATGTTCATAGTTATGAGAGCAGGATCCTGCTCTGGTTGTCTGCCTTTGTAGCTAGTATGCTTTCAACTGCCTAACCTGCTCTCTGGCTTTTCTGTTTGTTCCATCCTGAATGTGGAGTTTTGGTCCCATCGCTGTAGGCTCACTGTGGCACCATCAGCCCCCTTAGGCACTGGGTTCCTTGCTGTATCCTGTGCTTTGCTTATTTGGAAGCTCTCTGACTTCAGAGTGTGTTACTGTGATATCTTCTGTTTAATTTAGGAGTGTTTTATCTTTTCTGGTGGTCTGTTTCCATGGCTCTGCAGAACTTCAGCTACAGCGTAAAAATCGCTGGCTTTAAATCTAATAAAAGCTGGGATAATGGGACAGCTGTAGGAGGGGCAGTTCCCATTGTGTCTTTTAAAATTGCCTGTAGTTTATTGACCGCAAGTTTCACCAAGAGCTACTGCTGCCGTTAGATAATGAGAATTGAAAATTGCTGCTGCTGTTTCCCCAGGGCTTTATCTCGTGCCAGCGAGAAGAGGGTGTGGAAGGAAAAGGAGAGTGGGCAGTGGAAATCTGCGTAATTTCTTAGTTTGAGTCCAGATGGAAGGGGAAAACAAATGATTTTGTTTTAAAAAGTCTGAGTCCTATTAGTGAATTGCTTCCCTCTCCCATGCAAATATGCACTCACATGCAAGCTTTTCAGAGCATTTGTGACCCATTCTGTTTCCCTTGTGTTCTGTTCACACCAATAGTCTAATCTGAATTTACTCAGAATTTTAGTTGGTTAATTTGTTATGTAATTGGTGCTTATACCAGAGAATCTCCAACCAGCTATCACTTGGAAAATGAGTCCTCCAGTGACCATATATTAACATGATTTGAGATTTCAAACAGAACCTGCTTCCTGCAACTGTGTGCAGAAAAAAGTCTGTTAGTGAAGAGCATGTATCCTTTCTTTTGAGGTGTTTCCTTACTGTCTCTAGGTGCCTGTCTTTCACAGAAGGACCAAGGTGAAATGTTTTGTGCTCTAGCTCCTGGCCAAACCAAGCTATCAAGAGCTGTGTACTCAGACATGTGTATTCCCTTGTCAATAGAAGCTGGATACATTGAGCTAGGAGCCATTCATAATTCTGTACTTTTTCCCTATTCTGTGTCCAGCTTCTCACAGATCTGCTACTCATAACAGACAAAGGTAAACCTACTTCTGTCAAGGCTTTAGGGCTTGTCTACATAAGGAAATTACAATGCAATAAGCTGGTGAGTGAGTTTGTGGTACAGCAACTTGTCTGTATATGAACATTCTGGGTTTGTAATGGAAGTGCAGGGAAAATTCACACACGTTTGCTGTGAGTCACTCTGCTGTGTGCAAACAAGCCCTTGCAAAACACTGATTGACTGGATTCCAGCAGAGGGCCACTTTTAACCATAACCTTGAGTTGTCTGCATTCCGCTTTGCCCTTGACTATAATAAAAAGGAATGTGGTCAATTTATCGTGCTTACATTTCCAAGTGATCCTTGTAAGAGCCTGGCTCCCTTTTGGCACCCATAGCAAAGCATTGCAACTCTGCTGGAAGTTTGTCTCTAATCAGGGCAGGGACCCTGATTGCTGAGAAGACGCTGTAGGTGGTCCTGCAGTGTCCCATCCTGGTGGAGCAGTTTTGCTCCAGCACTTTGAATCGTGCTGAAGTATGGCCTGCTGGGAGCTTTCATTTCTGCAACCTAGATCTCTTTCTGCCTAAGAAAAACAGCTTTGGGTTGCGTTGGGTGCCATGGGCTGCACTGCAGGTATTAGATCATTCTGGATTGTCAGGCTCTTGTTACAGTGTTGTGTCCATTCTGATGGATCATGAAGTACTTTATAGTTAGGTTTTATACTTACTGGGGTAGAGAGGAGCAGTCAGTGTGTGGCTGGGGGAAGAAAATTTGGACCAGGTATGGCGAGGCTTGTATCTCTACTTGAGCAATGGAAGGATTTTTCTTCCCTTTGGGATTCTGCAGAGGTAGATCTTACCTGTTGAGGTCTCACTGAGATCTATCACATAGTATGCTACTTGAAATGCCAGTATATC